GTTTTCATACAGTTGACTTGATCAAGTTCGGATCCATTCGTCCTGATCAAATCCAAATTGGTCAGAGGCGTAACATGTCTGATCAAGACCGGATCCGTCAACTTGATCAATACCTGATAAGTGATCAGGTCTAACCCGATCCAAACTGGATCAAGACCTGACCCGAATTTCCACTCGGGCTCATGTATTTTTCCCGAAATTCGTTTTTCAAAAAATTATAAAAAATGAGCGCATGTTTCCGGAGGGGTAAATTTTATAACAATACGTTGTTATAAAACAATGACTGAGACTAAGCAATGTCTGAGAGTACAGTCTCAGACTCCTCCCCCTCACCCCCTTAAATTTTCATCCCTCCAGATACATGCGGCTGTCTTCAACCCCCCAGAAAATCTCTAGTCTCATGTATTTTTCCGGAAATTCATTTTTTTTTAAATATAAAAAATCAGCGCACGTTTCCGGAGGGGTGAATTTTATAAAAATGTAATCTCAGATACTTCTTCCGTACTCCTCTAAATTTTCACCCCTCCGGATACATGCGGCTGTCGTCAACCCCCCGGAGAATCAACATACTCATGTATTTTCCCCAAAATTCTTTTTTTTTATTATAAAAAATCAGCGCATGTTTCGGGAGGGGTAAATTTTATAACAATGTAGTCTCAGCCCCTCCTCCTCACCTCCCTAAATTTTCACCCCTCCAGATGCATGCGGCTCTCTTCAACCCCCCGGAGAAATCGGATGATCATGTATTTTCTCCGAAATTCATTCTTTTTTACATTATAAAAAATCAGCGCACGTTTCCGGAGGGGTGACTTTTATAAAAATGTAAAGTAAGACCCCTCCCCCTCACCGCCCCTAAATTTTCATCCCTCCCGATATATGCGGCTGTCTTCAACCCCCTAGAAAAACCCCAGTCTCATGTATTTTTCCCGAAATACATTTTTCAAAAAATTATAAAAAATCAGCGCCTATTTCCGGAGGGGTAAATTTTATAACAATGTAGTCTCAGACTCCTCCCCCTCACCCCCTTAAATTTTCACCCATTCTCATGTATTTTCCCCGAAATTCATTTTTTTTTAATTATAAAAAATCAGCGCACGTTTCCGGAACGGTGAATTTTATAAAAATGTAATCCCAGACACCTCCCCTTCACCTCCCAAAATTTCCACCCCTTCGGATGCATGCCGCTGTCTTCAACCCCCCGGAGAAATCGTATGATCATGTATTTTTCGCGAAATTCGTTTTTCAAAAAATTATAAAAAATGAGCGCATGTTTCCAGAGGGGTAAATTTTATAACAATGTAGTCCCAGACTCCTCCCCCTCACCCCCTTAAATTTTCATCCCTCCGGATACATGCGGCTGTCTTCAACCCCCCAGAAAATCCCTAGTCTCATGTATTTTCCTGGAAATTCATTTTTTTTTAATTATAAAAAATCAGCGCACTTTTCCGGAGGGGTGAATTTTATAAAAACGTAATCTCAGACACCTCTCCCTCACCCCTCTAAATTTTTACTTCTCCGGATACATGCGGCTGTCTTCAACCCCTCGGAGAAACCCCATACTCATGTATTTTCCCCGAAATTCATTGTTTAAAAAATTATAAAAAATCAGCGCATTTTTCCGGAGGGGTAAGTTTGATAAAAATGTAATATCAGACCCCTCCCCCTCACCCCTCTAAATTTTCAACCCTCCGCATACATGCCCTTCCCCCCACTTCCCGCAAAGTTCAAATTTTTTAAATTCGATTCTTTTATTTATCCAATTATATGATGTCCCTCTTGGCCCCTATTTGACCCGGAGCATTCTCCTCTTCTGTATCTATTTGCCATAAGAGTTTTCACGGAGAGCAATTGGGTCAATACAGAATTAAACCAATAAAAAAAATGCCAAAATGAACCATTTGGATAATCAATTATATGAGAACGTGGTTTTATCATTTTTGAAAAATATTTTTTCCGCCACTGCTGCCGACTTGATCGGCCTGGGCGAGAAGTCGACACTGCCGCCATCCGGCGGCATTCCCCCTACTGACTTACTTTCCTTATTGAATTAATGTCATTAAATGTACTAAAATTCATTAATAATTCATAGATTAACATCCATAATGGTTTCAGGTATCATTTACCCTTTTTTACAACAAAAAAAGACTGTCCTGATTAGCCACCTAACTTAAGTGGCTCCTGACATGCCAGGGCAATCACTAAAAATTACAATGACCCTTTTTTTCAACTCCTAGAGCTACGAAAAACAAACCATATCCTTCAAATCCAGTTCCTCAAAATGTGACACCTGCCAAGGCATCCCAAGCCCTGATGGTTCATACCCAGAGTTCGACTCTGGGTAATCTCCACAAGCCCAGTCTGGGTGGGGAGGAAACTCGGAATTGACGTTAGGTGCCGAATGTCGGTTGAACTCTGTACCCAGAGTAGATCCCAGAGTTGTGAAATTGATTGTTAAACAAATGTTAAAAATTGTTTCAGAGATGGAAGGCAGGGAGGGGATATAATAGCATTGTTAGAGTGATTCTGGGGTCAATTTCTCATGCAGGAGAGATGCCAAAGGGCATTCCAACAATTTTATGTCAACGCTGGATTCAACTCTGGACAAAGCCTTCATCCCAGAGCGTTACTTTTTATTGTGGACCAAGTTGTTAATGTTGTTGAGTGAAGAGGTGAGGGAGGGGACGGGTTCTCATGACATTATTTAAGTGATTCTAGGGTCAATTTCCCACTTAGAGAAGTTGCTGGAGATTATGTCAACAATGTTAAGGCAACTCTGGGTTTAACTCTGGGTACAGTCTTAATCCCAGAGTTGTATTATTATTGCTGCACAAGTTGTAAATTTCATTGAATGAAGAGGGGGTGGAGGGCAGGTGGTCTTATGACATTATTGAAGGGTCAATTTAATAACAACTCTGTAATAACAACTCTGTAATAACAACTCTGGGATTAACTCTGGACACAGTCTTGATCCCAGAGTGTGACTTTTTATTGTTGAACAAGTTGTTAATGTTGTTGAACGAAGAGGTGAGGGAGGGGAGGGGGTCTTATGACATTATTTAAATGATCCTAGGGCCAATTTCCCAGTTGGAGAAGTTGCTGGAGATTATTTTAACAATATTAAGGCAACTCTGGGTTTAACTCTGGGTACAGTCTTAATCCCAGAGTAGTATTATTATTGCTGAACAAGTTGTAAATTTCATTAAATGAAGAGGCGGGGGAGGAGAGGTGGTCTTATGACATTATTGAAGGGTCAATTTCTCCTCTAGGGGAGAGAACAAAGGTCATTTCAGCAATGTAATAACAACTCTGGGTTTAACTCTGGGTACAGTCTTAATCCCAGAGTAGTATTATTATTGCTGAACAAGTTGTAAATTTCATTAAATGAAGAGGCGGGGGAGGAGAGGTGGTCTTATGACATTATTGAAGGGTCAATTTCTCCTCTAGGGGAGAGAACAAAGGTCATTTCAGCAATGTAATAACAACTCTGGGTTTAACTCTGGAAACAGTCTTTTTCCCAGAGTGTTACTTTTTATTGTTGAACAAGTTGTTAATGTTGTTAAACGAAGAGGTGGGGGAGAAGACGTGGTCTTATGACATTATTGAAGGGTCAATTTCTCCTCTAGGGGAGAAACCAAAGGTCATTTTAACAACGTAATAACAACTCTGGGTTTAACTCTGGACACATTCTTGATCCCAGAGTGTTACTTTTTATTGTTGAACAAGTTGTTAATGTTGTTAAACGAAGAGGTGAGGGTGGGGAGGGGTCTCATGACATTATTTAACTGATTCTGGGGTCAATTTCCCACTTAGTGAAGCTGCTGGAGATCATTTCAACAATATTAAGGCAACTCTGGGTTTAAGTCTGGGTACAATCTTAATCCCAGAGTTGTATTATTATTGCTGGACAAGTTGTACATTTCACTGAATGAAGAGGTGGCGGAGGAGAGATGATCTTATTGTAGCGCCTCGCTACATCCTAACTGAGGAGACAGTCTGACGTCACCCTCAGGCATTTAATATTTCGTTGCTGTCCTCTCACGGATATACCAACACAATAATAGAGGATTACATTTCGCGCCTCTACCGAATTATTCTATCACGGCGTCCTATCGCACAGGAGCCGTTGGCAGTTGATCGGCATCCGTTGTATCGAGCGCAACTGAGTATCAAATCAATATTCATTGTACTTCTTGAGACTGACGCTTCGGCGAATAAATATATTATTAAATTGTTTATTCGTTTAGTAGTGATTTGTTACTCCCGACCATCGCAAATCCTACATTGGTGACCCCGACGTGATCTTCGCGTTTGATTAATTAATTCAAAGGGAGTGCGGCAGTGCAACGAGTGCCTCGCGAGTGCGCCTGCCTTTACAACGAAATTTTTTCTCATATCTCGCGCGTTTATTTCACCCTGTTACCGGTGGTTAACGTCGCGAGCATTTTTCCCAGGCAGCGGCTGTCGTCGCGAGTGCATAAAATTAATCTAAACTTGCAAATTAACACATAACATTTTTCGCGTGTGGCTTTATTTTTCAATGCCCAATATGGCGTCGTGGGGGATCTCGATTTAGCGTCGTTGAGTCGGTGGAAAATCGATTCTCGGCATCTTCCTCATCGTTGTACGCCCCGCCCACAACGCGCGCGCACACCCCTTCGGTTAATTGCGTTTACCCTCAGTGATTTTCGCACCTTATTCTCCGCTCTACCTGTTCTCCCGCGTTTTCTCTCGCGGCAAGTGAGTGAACAAGTGGGGATACTTGAGGGTTGGTCGTCCGTCTCTCTCTATCTCGCTGGGACATTGCTGAGCACTCTATAGACGCTGTGCTGTGCTGGTGTATGTGAAGACTTTAACGACTTCGCAAGAGTGACGACACGTGCAAAAAATTTTTTTTTTTGATTGAGATAATTAATTATTTTTTTATATTTATCGATTACCGCGATTTTTTCCGGTAAATGAATGTCAAGTGATTTTCGTGGTTCGTGATGCCGGGTGTCCAGGAGCTCACCACAGACGTTTTTAGCAGCTGCAGCCGTGATGCAACCTAAGCTCGTCGCAAGGCCATTCAACCCTGATAGACCTCAGCTGTGGTTTGCTCAACTGGAGACCCAGTTTACCGATCTTGGAATAGTGACGAAGATCGATAAGTATAATAAAACTGTTCCGCTAATTGATACGGTCTATGCAGCAGAGGTCGAGGATCTCATTATTGCTAGACCAGTTAATACCCCATACCAAACATTGAAGAATGAATTAATTCGATGTTTTACCACGTCAAGGTCAATGAATTTATTACGACTGCTGGACAATGAGAATCTTGGAGATCGTACACCCTCGAAGCATCTTAGGCATTTAAAGGCTCTGGTTCCAGGTGTCGATGAGGAGGTCTTAAAGACACACTGGCTGTCTCACCTTCCGGAGCAGACTAGAGCGACGCTTACTGCCCAGGTTGACGCTTCGTTGGAGAACCTGGCGAAACTGGCTGATAGGGTCCATGAGGTCTTTCAACCTCATCAGACTTCAGCTAATTCGGCCTCGTCGGGTAATGTGGTCAACTCTGCGCTTCGTGATGAGCTGGAGAGTTTGAAGGCTACAGTAGCTGCGATGCAGCTGCGTGAGTCGCGTTCTCGCTCAAGAGGGCCACCCAAGTGCCTTCCGGGTTGTCGGTACCAGGGAAACTCCAGGGAGAGTTGTCAGCGATGGAACGCAGCTCTTTTAATAAAGACGGGGTGTTAATACATCCCGTCGCCTCTTTGTCATCGCTAGGTCCACCAAGGCACAGTACCTAGTGGATACCGGTTCCGACGTTTCAGTGTGTCCTCGCCGGGTGCACACTCGAAAAAGGGACGCGTCTGGTTATCAGCTGTTCGCAGCCAACAACACTCTGATCAATACTTATGGCTACATACCGATCCTGCTCGATCTTGGCCTGCGCAAGGAAATCAAGTGGCGTTTTGTTGAAGCTGGTCAGCTTCAAGGTACATTAGGTACCTTTCGAGGTACATTATTGGCGCTGACCTGCTGCATCATTACGGTCTTCTGCCTGACCTCAAGAATCAACGACTTATTGATAGCGCCACTGGTCTCTCAACAGACGGACAGCTGGTTAAATTCGAGTCGTTCTCAGTCAGACTCCAGACGATTGAAGAGGATTCATCTTATGTAGCCCTACTGAAGAAGTTTCCTGCCATAATTAAGCCGGAGGGACTCCTTCGAAACATCAAGCATATGACGCAACACCACATTAGGACTACACACGGCCCACCAGTATCGGCCAGACCAAGACGTTTGCTACCAAATAAGCTGGCTATAGCAAAGGCTAAGTTTTCGAATATGCAGAAGCTTGGCATCGCTAGGCGCGGTCAGGGACCATGGTCTTCGCCTCTGCATTTGGCTCCTGAGAATAATGGAGAATGGAAACCGTGTGGTGATTACCGGGGCCTGAATGATCGGACGATCCCGGACAAGTATCCCGTTCGCTACCTTGAGGATTTCGCCGCAAATCTTTACGGATCCACGATATTTTTGACTATCGATCTCGTGAAGGCGTTTAATCAGGTTCCGGTAGCAGCTGAAGACATCCAGAAAACGGCCATAATAACTCCTTTTGGGCTATTCGAGTTCCCGTTCATGACTTTCGGTCTGCGCAACGCTGCTCAGACGTTTCAGCGTTTAATCGATGAAGTCACAAGGGATCTGCCGTTTCTATTTCCGTATATCGACGATATTCTCGTCGCCTCTGAGACACCTGAGCAACATCTAGATCATCTGAGGCAACTGTTCCAACGTTTGGAGTATTTCGGTCTGGTGGTAAATGTAGCGAAGTCTGTCCTTGGCAAACCGGCGGTGGTTTTCCTTGGGCATACCATCAACGCACAGGGGATCAAGCCCCCTGCGGACCGGGTAAGAGCGATTCTCGAATATCCAAAACCTTCTAACGTTAAGTCTCTCCGCAGATTTCTTGGTGCTCTCAATTTTTACAGAAAGTTTATGAAAGGGGCTGCAGAAATTCTCGCTCCTCTCAACGCAGCACACAGGGGACCTGCCGTTAAAGGAAAGCATCCGGTGGATTGGACACCGGAGATGGAGGCTGCTTTCGATGCAAGCAAAAGGGCACTGGCTGAAGCCACTCATCTGTCACATCCGAACGTGCACGCTGAGTGGGCTGTGTTCACCGACGCATCGGATCACGCAATTGGCGCTGTCCTTCAACAACGACATCAGGATGGTTGGCAGCCACTCGCCTTCTTCAGCAAGAAGCTTGCTCTCTCCGAACGTCATCATGCGACTTACGATCGAGAGTTAGAAGCGATTTACGAGGCGATGATCCATTTTCGGTACATTTTCGAGGGGAAACATATTACGATCTACACGGATCACAAACCTTTGACGCACGCTTTCCATTAGAAACCGGATAAGGCAACACCCTGGCAGTGTAGAAGACTGGATTTCATTGGCCAGTTTACGTCTGATATCGTACACGTGGCTGGCGATGATAACGTGGTAGCTGACGCTTTGTCTCGTATCGAGGCAGTGTTCCAGGCGATCGACAGTCAACAACTCGCTCAATCACAGCGAGAAGATCCTGAACTTCGCCAGCTGCTTGAAGGTAACAACAACAACAGTCTTAATTTACAGCTATTCCGCTTCCCAGGTTCGGACATTAGATTGTACTGCGACGTCTCAGCGTCGGGCACGATTCGTCCGTATGTGCCGGGGCCTTTAAGGAGGCAAGTTTTTCTCTCCATGCATTCGCTCGCGCACCCCGGAGGAAAAGGAACTCGGAAGCTTATCGCCGATCGTTTCGTTTGGCCAGGTATGAGTAAGGACTGTTTGGATTGGACTCGTCATTGCCTGTCGTGTCAGAAAAATAAAGTATCGAGGCATGTCGCAGCACCTCTCGCTGAGTTTGCTTTACCGTCCCAAAGATTCGAGCATATTCATGTCGACTTGGTTACTTTACCGTTGTCGAAAGGGTTCAAGGACTGTCTCACAATTATAGACAGGTTTACACGGTATCCAGAGGTGGTGCCACTACCGGACATCAGGACAGAAACAGTAGTTCGTGCACTTCTCTATCACTAGATCGCAAGGTTTGGAGTACCTCTCAGGATCACATCAGACAGAGGAGGCCAGTTTATCGCGGACATTTACCGACGTCTGACAGAGATGTTGGGAATTTGACGCAAGCTTACTACGCCAATTCATCCCCAGGCTAACGGACTCGTGGAGAGACTGCATCGCCAGTTGAAAGCTGCACTTCGCTGCCACGGCGATAGCTGGTATGATATTTTGCCGTTGGTTTTGTTAGAACTCCGCACCGCTTGGAAACCTGATGTTGAAAGCACACCTGCTGAGCTCACCTACGGAGAAGCAATTCGGCTCCCAGGTGAATTGTTTACACCAACGAACGATCGAGCAGCTCCGGAGGTTTTGAGGGATCTCCGTAGACATTTCGCGGCGGTAGCACCCACTGAGATGTCTCGTCACGGAACCAAGCCAACTTTCGTCCACAAGAGCCTTGCCGATTGCACGCATGTTTTCATCAGGACAGAGACTGGAGGACCGAATACCGCAGCTCCAGACTCTGGACCATATCGCGTCGTCAGCAGCCACGATAGACATTTTGTTGTCCACTGTAGGTCACTAGGGAGAGGCAACTATCTTCAAGACGTTCCTATCTCTATCGACCGCCTCAAACCTGCGTTCATTCTTCCCGAGGACATGGAACAGGTTCGGCAGCTTCCTGCAGAAGCTTGTCCACGACATCAATAGCGGCAACAACAGCAAGTAAGAGCAGGCACGGCAGTAGGAACCTCTGGCCAGCCCAAGAGGGTCACTTTTAACGACCGATTGGAAACACGGACTTACGACCCCAGGCAACCTCCGGACTCGAGCATTACGACACCCGGGGGACAGCAGAGAATTTCTACGCTATCCTGTCGTTGAGCAAATTTAATTTTTCTGTTTTTTTTTGTTGCATTTCTCTAAAAAACTACGTTTTTCTCCCAGCAGGGGAGACATGTAACGCCTCGCTACATCCTAACTGAGGAGACAGTCTGACGTCACCCTCAGGCATTTAATATTTCGTTGCTGTCTCCTCACGGATATACCAACACAATAATAGAGGATTACATTTCGCGCCTCTACCGAATTATTCTATCACGGCGTCCTATCGCACAGGAGCCGTTGGCAGTTGATCGTCATCCGTTGTATCGAGTGCAACTGAGTATCAAATCAATATTCATTGTACTTGTTGTGACTGACGCTTCGGCGAATAAATATATTATTAAATTGTTTATTCGTTTAGTAGTGATTTGTTACTCCCGACCATTGCAAATCCTACATTATGACATTATTGAAGGGTCAATTTCTCCTCTAGGGGAAAGAACAAAGGTCATTTCAACAATGTAATAACAACTACTTCTAAGTGAGACTACTTCTAGCAACATTACTTCTCTAAGTGGGAAATTGACCCTAGGATCACTTGAATAATGTCATAAGACCCCCTCCCCCCCTCACCTCTTCGTTCAACAACATTAACAAGTTGTTTAAGAATAAAAAGTAACACTCTGGGATGAAGGCTTTGTCTAGAGTTGAACCCAGAGTTGACATAAAATTGTTGGAATGCCCTTTGGTATCTCCCCTACATGAGAAATTGACCCCAGAATCACTCTAACAATGTTATTATTCCCCCCTCCCTGCCTTCCATCTCTCAAAACAGTATTTAACATTTGTTCAATAATCAATTTCACAACTCTGGGATCTACTCTGGGACATTCGGCACCTAACCTCCACTCTGGGTTTCCTTCCAGCCCACTGGGTTTGTGGAGATTACACGGTCTGGAGAACTCTGGGTCAACTCTGGGTGTGAACCATCAAGGAGCTTCTATCCCTAAAACCCTTATTCCCGTCATGTCCTCTCTCCAAATTCAAAGAAGCATACGTACACAAGGAACATCAAATACTGGAGTTCTCAAAGATTCTTCTCAAATACTCCAGCAAATTACGACAAATCAACAGCAGCTTCAGCATCCGAAAAAGCCAAGAATTGCTGTCCATGCTGATGACCTGAGGTCCATACCATCAGGACATTCATCAATACTTCCTGTACCCCGAAAACAAGCAGACTAAACCCAGAGCGTTGTCGTTCAAAGAATCCCATCAGATGCTCAACAATTGGAAGACTTGATAGCCAGTGCCTCCTCAATTGGTAAATTATTTTTGTTAATATTACTTTATTGATAAACAATAATGGTATTTATTTCTAGGAGGTTCAGACCTAGGAAAACGGGAAGAGGTTCAAGGATCATATGATAGTGATGTGACGAATGAAGGGGACAATGATGAAGATATTCATGGCTCTTGAGGCTCCGACAATTCTCGAACATTTCCATCGCCAAAATCGCCAGGGACAAATCGTGAAGAACTGGATCTTGGTGTACCTATCTTGCCCAATGATGGTCAAAGAATTCCTGAGGAACCACCAATAATTCCGATTGATGTCCACCAGGACAATCGCAATCATAGTAAACTTCTATTCGTTCATTCTATTGACATTCTATGTATTTGATCGTCAGTAACATTCAACATGACGATGCAATAGATGAACTGAGAAGAATGCTAATCAACTTGGATCGAAAGATTGATAACATTCTACGAACAGTAAACGACAGCAATGAAAGACTACAGGGTTTCATCTCAACGCATGCCTATGAAAATCAGCCTTACATAATTGTACAGTCAATCAACTCCATGGAGGCTCTTCGTGAATTTGATGAAACTTGGAAAACTGATGAAGAGAGTCGCATTCGATTTGTAAGTCGAATTTTTATTTGACTCAAAATATATATGAAAAGAATTGGACTAGAACTCGACTAAAATTGAAATCTTGTGCATGTTGAATCATTAACTTGCCAACTGATAATGATTTGTTACTCTCGAACATAAAGTTAGGCCCTTTTGGATTTCTTAAATCAGTTTGACTATTAGAAAAAATTAATTAGGATTCTACTAAAATATGCAGAAGCATTTTGATTTTACTATTCTTCTTAGTAATTAGTGAACTGCTGAGTCAATTTACCTTAAAAATCCAGACGCTCAGATTGCAAAGGGAAATACAACACAAATTTTTTGTTCTCGAGATAGATGCATTTTATTGATTAACGAAAGATTTATTTGTGTTTCAGCAACATCAAGTGCGACGGATTGGCGATAAATCTCTATAAAAACACTGTGGAAACGTGATGGCGGCCTTGATGACAAATAATTTGCCAAAACAATGTACATGGATCGGGTCCCATGAAACTCAGAAAATAGAGGGTATGACGTTTTCAAATATTATTATTTCAACTCTCATGGTTGCATGGGGGAATGAAACAGAAGATCAAGTCAAACAAAGAATAAAATACTGGTTGAGGCGAACCGGTGACAGATTGAGGAGGGCTATTGGAGGTGCAAGGAGACAGTAGGATAGCTGAATTACCAAATTGGTAAGCATTTAAAAGATGCTAAAAAAACAAATTGGTCAAATTGGTAAGCATTTAAAAGATGCTAAAAAAACAAATGTCACTGATAGAGGATTAACGGGAAGCGATCACAAGTTTTATTCTTTTCTTCGTCATTATAGTTGCGAAAAAATAACTTGAACAAAATTACTTCCACAAATATACATTTCTTCGAAAATTCCTAGTAATTTCTTATAAATAGGTTGGTCATATTCATCTACCCAGTAAACAGTGATCCGAAAGTTTGCCATAAAGAAGGCTATTTTGCCGATAAATTACGGCAAATTGTCGAGTTTTGCTGTCTGGGTAGTTCTGTATATGTGCAAAGTTATAATGCCGTATTTGCCATTAATTAAATAGCTCTTCTCACTAAAGCCTATTAAAATATAAGTAGGGAAGTGGCTGTAATGGTCACGCGGGGAGTGTGTGGCTCAGGCGGTCATGCAAGCTAAGCAGCATTCAGTCTGCCCAGTACTTGGATGGGTGTCCGCTTAGGCACACCTAACCGCGTGGGACTACAGTCGCTAGGCACGAGAAGGGAACAAAAAATGTAAAAACCCAAGAGGGTATACGTATGGAACCAAAAATTAAAAAAAAAAAAAAAAAAAAAAAAAA